CAGCCCAGCAAGCTGTCCGGTCCTCCAGCGCCAGGCTAAGCCGCACAAACAAGCGGACCTGCCCCTCAGACCAACGGGGAGGCCAGAGCGGATACCCAGTGTCCACCCCACCAGGTGCGCAGGAACAGAGACCACAGCGGTCTGCGCACTTGCTAAGCACTGGTCCTGCTCCGCGCACACTCCTTTGTCCTTACAACACGGCACACAGGTGTCACCTTCCTTACAGCTGGAGAAATTGGGCTCAGAGGAAGGCCTCGGCCAAATAAGGCCAGTTATCAGGGCTGATCATTGGGGAGCCAGCCACGGCAGCTGGAAGCTCCAAATGTTACTCAGGAGAGAAGACATGAAACAAAGGGGATTTTCGATCAAGGCTTGAACGGGAAATAGGCTTGTGAGGAAGGGGACCCAGGCCTACCTGAACCCCACCTTGGTCTTCTGAACTTCTCCCCCCATCCTTTATACTCCCCTCCATGCTCACTCACTCTGACCTGGCAACTCTACCTTCCACCCAAACATTCCCAGAGAGAAGCAGAAACCACCAACCAAAATCAAAAATAGTGTTATTAATTCTGGTGTCTCCGAAGCACGGAAGAAAAAAAAAAAGAAAAAAAGAAAAAGAAACCACCCTTCCCACGTTTCAGCCCCAGGTCGGGGCCACGGGGCTGCCCCTGCAGGCAGTGCAGGCCCAGAGGCCGTCAGTCCTGCCACAGGCGTGAAGCGGGACCAGCCCATGGGTTTGGCTCTTCGGGCCTGGCTGGGAGGCTGCCTGCCTCAGTTCGGGGAGTCCAGGCCCTGGACTAGGGACGAGAGATCAGGGGTCAAGGTAAGAGTTCTGGGCCACTTAGTTCTGGTGCTCTGGCTAAGGCAACCAGAGGTCAGGGTTCAGATGTGGACGGAAGCCAAAACCATTCAGTCCTGTGGTCCAGCGGAGAGGGCCAGAGGCCATGGTCCAAGTTACTGAATCCGGGCTGGGATCCAGAGAAGAGTGGGGCATTCAGTATTGATGGTCCAGCAGGGGCTGGGCAGCTGGGCTCTCACGCTCCTCAGAAGGGGCAGGCCAGTCACCCGGGGCCCCCGTGGGTGTGCCACTCTCTGGAGCACTGCTGTCCAAGCAAGGAATGTCCTGGGCTGCTCTGGGGGGTGAGGCATCGGTGCTGATATCCAGGCTGAAGCTGAGGTCTAGGGGCGCCTGGGGGAGGGGAGATAGGTTGGTAGAAGAAGACCTGAGCTGCCCAGAACCCACCCCTCCCACTGGATCCTTACCTGAGATTTGGGGGTGCCTCCTTTGGGGCTCCCTGAGGCTGGCTCCCCCTCGGATCCCCCTAGCCCCTTTCGACCCCCCAAGCTCCACTTCCCACTGGGACCTTCGGAACAGAGGAGACCAGGGCCAGGGGGCCTTGAGGGCCGGGGACCCTCAGTGGGGGCAGGTGAAGCGGGGGGCTGTCCAGGGAGCCGAGGGGGTGGCCAGTGCAGCAGAGAAGGGGGGCGGCCATCACCAGAACTGCTGAGGGAGGGCCTCGGGCCCCAGCCAGCACCTGGTGGGAGGAGTTGGTCGCCACTGCCTGTGGAAGACAGATAAGAGGGCAGACACTCAGCTAGGCTGTCCCCTCACCGACTGGTTCAGCCTGGCCTCGCTGGCTCACCTGCTGTGTTCTCAGGTGTGGGGTGTGCCAAGGGGGGGTTATTGCTGAGGGAGGTCAAGCCACCGCCTCCACCACAGTCTGAGTCGTCTACGTTTCCGCCACTATTGCAGCCGGCACCACAGCCCTTATGAAGCCTGGAGGGGGGGAGGTGAAGAAGTTAGTGGAAAGGCCAGAGACCTCACAAACGGAAGTTCTCAGTTCAGGACAAGTCTCTTAACATTCCTGAGCCCTGGGGTGCTGTCTCTAAGAGATTTTGCCATCTGCTTTACAGGATCTTTTCAGGAAGGCATTACCAATGGCTCTTAAGGCTAAAGGCCACCTTCAGCTGTGGGGTGGGGTGGAGCCGAGTCAGCTCTGGGAAGGGGTCAGCTCTCGGCTCCATCCTGGCTCCAGCACTTCCTCCCCGAGACCCTGGAGGAAGTGGCTTCATCTCCTCGAGCCTCAGCTTCCTGCCCAGGAACCAGGCTCCCAGGTTGGGTGGCGGTGAGGGCTCACCGTTCCCAGCTGTGCAGAAGCCAGCGGGCAATGGCGCCCAGGCTGATGGGGCCGCCCCACAGCGCCCGCAGCTGGGGGTGGCTGCCAGCCAGCGAGGTGGTGAGGGGCGACACGTAGATGGGGTAGCCGAGCGGCTGGTCGCAGGAGGAATTGATCATGTTGCGGAGCGCCTGCTTGGCGTTCTGGATGCTGCCGCGCTCCGGGTTGCGGTTGCGCAGGAACACCAGCTCCTGCTGCTGCCCGGCCCACAGGCCGCGCACACACTCCCGGTTCACCTGCGGGAGGCCACATGCAAGGGTCAGGGGGCTGCAGCAGGACAGGGGCCGGGTTGGGGGGTGGGCTAGCCCCACCTTGATGACTCGGAAGCTGAGGTGGCGCCGGTTGAGCATGATGATCTTGTACTCGTCGGAGGCGTCATCCAGGACGTGGCGCAGCGCCAGCAGCGAGGGCGTGTTGCTGAGGATGGCGCTGCGCCAGGCCGGGTCGCCCTCATGCGAGATGACCAGCCGCTCCTCATTGGCTGCGATGGCATCATACAGGGCGGCCGGCTCCTCATACTCATCTGGGGACGTGAAGTGGTCCTGTGGGAGGACCGGAGGGCGGGGGGAAG